AGCTTTACTTAAGCATCAGTTTCATAAATAGGGAAGCTTAATAACGGGATTTTGTGGAACAGCTTTCCCTAAGCATTAGTCTCATAAATAGGGCTTTTTGTGGAACAACTTTCCCAAGACATCAATTTCATAAATAAAAAAGTCTAGTGACGGGATTTGCGGAACAACTTTCCCCAAGCATCAATTTTATAAATAAAGAGGCCTAATGACGGGTTTTTGTGGAACAACACGGCACTACAAAGAAAAGTAAATTAAAGCAAACCTGAATTTGTGAATGAAAGGAATTCTCATTTACTGAAACTTATGCTTAGGTAAAGCTGAGGGCGAATAAGTTTGACAGGACTTACTTAAGTTTATGCTTAGATTTCCTGTGCATAAGCTTTCCCTAAGGACCAATTTCATAAATAAAGAAGCCTAATGACGGGTTTTTCTGGAACAGCTTCACCTAAGCATCAGTTTCATAAAAGGGAATCCCAGGAGCACACTTCCTCACCCTTTCCGTTCTTCACTGCTCCCCTGTTCTCTCAAATGTAGGTTAGTTAGTCAATCGGCAAAGGATTTATGCCATTTAGCTCTTATATCCACCTATCCTAGCTCCCCTTCCTCGTCTCGAACGAAACCCGCCATAAACCACCCCCACTTCCAATTGCCACACTCAAACTGCGACCATCCGTTGTAGGGTAGCCTTACCTGCCGTTGGCAGAAAAAATTTTTTACGGCTTGTGTATGAGACGAGCCGAGCCGAGCCGAGTTATTGTAAATCGGGCACAGATCGTGTATGAGCCTAACCAAGTCGAGCCGTGTTTTAGTAACTGCCAGCAGATGCCAACAACAAACACCGCCAGGAAGGGGATTCTCTTCCGAGGGATGGTTAAAAACCCAGGCTGGAACGCACCATGGGAGCCGGTGCGATTATGCATTTTTGCAGTTTTCATGCCATAGCAAAATCGCAAGGAATCACAGTAGCTAACCCTGTGAAACACTGGCCCTCGAAGTTCGGAAAGTTAATTGTGCAGCTATGTGGTATGGCAGTTGTAGATGTCAACTTCAGTGATCCGACAAATGGAAAGTTGCTGTTCCGCAAAAAAGGCTGCACTAGAAGAGTTAAATTTGAAATCTTTTAGCCGTACTTGGGTAGGGGGCATTCCCTTAAAATGAAAGCCTTCAGCTTTTCCCGTTTCCGAGTTAGCAGTTTTCTCATCAAAATTTCCACGTGTCCCTACATGAGTACCGGCCAGTTTTAAGGAGCTGAATTTGAAATCTTTTGGTCATACATTAGTAGGGGACATAACTTTAAAGTTTCAGCTTTCTAGCTTTTTTCGTTCCTGGGTTAGTGATTTTCGCGCCGAAATTTCCACTTGTTCGTTCTTCTAAACATCTTATTTTCGGGCTCTTCTAAACATCTTATTTTACTCGTACATGAGTAGGAAACTTTCCCCTAAAAATTCGGGCTTTCTAGCTTTTCCCGTTTTCCGGGCCCGTTTCCGGGCTAAAATTTCTACGTGTCCGTATGTGGGGCCGGGGCGGTCCTAAGGAGCTGAGTTTGAAAACTTTTGGTCGTGCGTGAGTAGAGGACATTCTCCCAATGTTTCAGCTTTATAGCTTTTCTCACTCTCGAGTTACGAATTTTCCCGCCATAATTTTCACTTGCCCCTACGTAAGCCCCGGGCAGTCCTGGGCAGCTGAATTTGAAACTTTTTGTCATACACGGGTAGGGAACATTCCCGTAATGTTTCAGCTTTCTGGCTTCTATTGTTCCCGAGTTAGCAGTTTCCCTGCCAAAACTCTCACGTGATCGTATGTGGGGCCCAGACGTGCATGAGAGTTGATACCGCCGTCCTGGTATGGCACTTGGGTGGGAACACACTGGCAAAATTTCAGCTTCAAAGCTTGCGTGGTTGGCGAGTTGAAATA